TGTGTGTGTGTGTGTGTGTGGTAGCTAGGCGATGCCACAGGCCTGAACCTGCTCCAAGAAGCTTTGGCAGGACATTGTCTTCCCTGGGAAGCGGAGTTACGGTTGAACAGCCAACTCCTGCTCTTAAGGTCAGCTGTTCAACCGTAACAGCCATTACATAAGCATGTTATATATTCAGACATTGAATATATAATGTGCTTTTTTCTTTACAAGTTTTATAAACTCCTGAAGCATTTCACATTTTGAGCATCACCACAAAACCCCTCAGGCTGTCTTAGCTGTTAGCATTAAGATTAATGCTGTGGATACAATACAAGCTGAAGTGACCTTGAAATGAGGTGACATTTAAAATATTTTTTTAAAAGCAGCCTCCATGCAAATTCAGAGAGGGACACGTGTTAATGGGAACACATTCATCTTTTTATTCATTGAGTAAAAGACTGAATACAGCTGGTGTTACTGTTTCTCCCTGTATGTACATCAAAAAAAGGTGCAGCAGATCTTTTTCTCCGTGTTGCCTGCATGCTCCAAGCTGTCTCCATAGCAACCCGCCTTAGTTACGCAGTCTCTTTTGCTCACCTGTGAGATGCCCAGCTGGGGCTTAATCAACCACTCAGATGTGATAAGGCATATTAGTTCATCAGCAGTTTAGCCATGTGCCTATCGTGTAAAAATGACTCCAATACTGTCTGCAACAGATATATTACTAAGATTCAGTGAACAAAGACAAAATGTTTGCACATGTTTACTCTGCAATAAATACTGAGCCTATATATACTGAATGTGTGTGTTTGTGTGTGTGTAGAACAGAATGTACAGGGATGTAATTAAAGTGTGATACGTACAGTGTGCACATACTGTATCTGCAGTAAGAATGAGTACACTTTATTTAAGAAGAAGAGAGTAAGTTGTGCGTTGTCTGTGTGGGCGCAGGTGAGTATGAAGCTGCTGAACTTAAAGGGGTTGTGCGTGGATTACATATCATGTGTTCTTCTGGCTCATGTACAAACCATCCATCACCAGGGAATATTTACAACCCTCCCTCTCTGCTCGTCTGTATCCAAGAGTTTAAAGCTTCCAGTATCAAAACACAATCACATCATCATGTCATATTTCAATATATAATATATTATGTAATATCCAGTTTATATATATATGTTTTGTTTTTCCATAAAGAGTATAAAACACAGCTGAAGATGGTGAAAGAGAATAGGTAGCATTTATGACGTCAGATTGGCTGAGATTGAGTGGCCTCACAATCGTGGTTACATGGAGTCAAAGTCGTGGTCGTTGGGCTCGATGACTTCCGGGGTCATGACCCTGCCCATGAAGAGGATGGACCCTGGACAGAGGAGCGAGTGAGAGAGAGAGAAAGTCAGATTCACCATGTGCTACATCTCTTTAGCTCCAAGTCCCTAAATGCATATTTCCCTCATTTAGAGAATTTAAATGACTGTCCCAGATTACCCAAAGCATGCTGTCCCACATTATCAATCAAATTTGATAAAAGCTAAACACACACACACACACACACACACACACCTGTCTTTCTGTTCCTGATGACAAAGAAGAATGGGTGATCAGCCATGACCTGCGGGTACAGCACCAGAGTCCTGGTCAGGGCGATCATTCCTGAGAGACAGAAAGAGGGCGCCAGAGAGATCATCATCATCATCATCATCATCCTCATTGTTATTTGCTGACAGTATTTTGTAAACTTGAAGTGTGAAAGGTTTGTAGTTGTGTTAATGGATATAATGACACAATGAAAGATTCAGTCTACCTGACCCCACAGCCCCCTCAGCCCCCTCCTCAGTCACCTCCAGGTAGGCCTTCTGCACTGCCTTCCCAATGTACAGGTCTTTACCATCTGGAAAACACCCACACAAAAGTACACAGACGGTCACCTTGACTTGAAAATAAACTGTATCAGTCTGAGAATGAAATAATGATGATAGCAAACATTATTTATCTAGAATCTTAAGAAACACAGTCACAAAGTGCTTGACAAGATAAACATGAACTGAAGGCAAAGGCAACTTTTAAAAGCAGAAATGAAAGAGTAAATATGTCTTTCAGAGATTAGAAAAGAATAAAACCAAAGTAAAAATGAAACAAGACAAAGATTAAATAGAAATATTGCACTGCCACCACCAACGAGGGCAGTTTCAGTCTACATGCCTTTTTCACTGACATCAGACCAAGTGACAGCTGATCAAAGTTTGAAGAAATTTGAGATGTGATGTTCAAGAGACCAAAAACATGTTTTGTGAGGCCACTGTGACCTTTGAAATCTGATCACTTAGTCAAAGTCATGATTTGTGCCAATTTTCGAAAGGATTCACAAGAACACAATTTCTCTTTTTATGCATATATGAAGTTAAAGGTGAAAAGTTCTGAGAAATGACACTTCTTAAAAACAAAACCTGTCTTAGAGAGGGATTTAAAAGAGGATAAGAATCCAGACGGATCTGACAATGTTGATTCTAAACTGTATATGAAGCTCAGGGCGTAGAATACACACATGTATCAGTGAGATCAACATCACAAACCAGCCTATTAGAACCCATTAGAAACTGTGCAGTCACTTTTAAAAAGGATGATGTTTACTCAGACAGAAAATCCAGGACCATAATTTCCCCAATGACTCAACGTGATTTAAAATACCTCTTAAATTCTCTTATTTGCCTTCCTGCCAGAATAGACCTCTGGGTACACGTTGAGCCGAGGACATTTTAGTGAGTACAAGATGTACAGTGCAGTCGGCAGATTGTATTTATATATTTTATAATATAAAACCTGTGTAGCTCCACCTGATCGTTAAGAACAAGCTTTATTCGACTGTGTTTTCAATGAGCATGAAGGGTTGTGAAGTTTTTCTTGTCATTAAGATACTGCAGTGGCTCTCCATATGTCTAGAACAGTTGTTATCCAACATTTTCAAGAGTCTCTATTCCTCTTACTCTATATGTGTGTGTCTCTCTCTGGATCTATTTTTACTGGATGATGTGACATGTCTGACCTGCCCACTTGGTGCCAGTTACCTTGGTTACCTTAGAAAGTACCAGAGGCTACTTCACTGCAGCCAAGAAGCAGAAAAAACTGATGATACTTCTCATGTGTATTATTCTCACTATTTGTGTAGTTTAAATAGTAAAGTGCGGGTTTGTTCCACACGTACGTGGTTCTTCATACAGCTGAGTGTTACCTGTCATGGCGGAGAGATCAGCGTTGTTGGTGAAGATGTTCTTTATTCCCAGCTCCTGCAGAGTGCTCCTCAGGTCAATCTTCTGCTCCACTTTGAACCTGGAACACACCGTGAGGAAAACAGTCACATGTTTGTGTTTACATTGCATGCATATACACAGAGGGCCTGCATATCATCTCTAGGAGGATGAATAGTGAGTCCAACCTTGTGCTTTTATTCCAATATCAACATCACCAAATAATTTCAGGCTTCATCACTGTTTGGCTATAACTTAAAATGTAATATCTTTCGAATAGATATATATAGTATATAGCTAAATGTAAATTACATAATGTCTTCTTCATATATTTTGGAGACCAGGCACACACACGTCATTTAATTGCAGATTATGT